TAGCTTCTGGACCTTTCCATACCATTTCGGCACCATGAAAGTATTCAGACACCCCCCCCCCCCCCTCCCACACATCTTCTCCGAAAAATCTCCGCGTAGACTTCCGTGTAAGCATTTGAAGTTTCTTCTCACGATGAAAGCACTCACATGTATTCTAGGTAAGAAATCCATGCACAGGAGTTTGACATTTTTGTTGTTTTCACACATCATGGGACTAGTGCGATGTCTCTTATTTTGTACTGCAAATCACATTGAATGTGAGTGTAGTGCAAAATGAATGTCATTTGTTCTACACCAGCATTTGTACTACCGTGACATGTAGTAATCCCTATACATGTACAGACCTTGGCGACATGCATTGCCAGCTGTTTGTGTTGCCTTGCTTTTGCGACCCTGCAGGCCTGGTTCTCCTACCCCGGCCTCAGGTCCCTTTTGGCCCCCTTTGCTTTCTCTTCGTTCAGTTCATGTTGCTCTTGTCGTTTCTTCTTGCCGTTCTGCACTCATTTTAATATGATGAATATGCAAGCAGGTGCCCTCGTTTTGTGTTTGTTTGCCCTGACCAGAGGAGCTATTGCATTCCCATGGGACCAGGCCCCAGTTATTTGGGGGGGGGGGCAGGGCTGGTCCAGGTGGGGGCATAAAGGGGCTCGGACCAGCGTGTCGGGGGGGGGGGGGGGATCCTACTGCCCCTCCGCCGCCTCCCATCAGGCTCTCACCTGCTCCCCAGACTAGGTGCCCGCCCCTAGCTGGGAGGGGTGCTGCGGCCTGCTCCCCCAGGCTGGGTGGGGGTGGGTGCCCCTGGGGTGCTGCGGCTTGCTCCCCCAGGCTGCCCCTGCGGCCTGCTCCCCCAGGCTGGGTGGGTGCCCTAGCTGGGGGTGGGTGGGTGCCCCTAGTTGGGGGGGGGGGGGGGTGCTACCTGGGGGCCCCTACCTGGGAAGGGGGGGGGGGAGGGGGTTCAAGGTTTTCCCCCGATTGAATTCCACACAAAAAATGAGAGAGTAATAACTGTTCTTTATTCTTAGCACAATCAGCTTGCATTCATTGCTAGAGCACACGGCAGAAGCCATGCTTGTCACAGGTGGTAAAACAAGAAGCTTGTGTATTTTGATATCAAGCATGTGTCGGATTCTGCAAAATAATTATAAATTCGGAAATAGAAGCTGCTTGGATATGCGCAAAACATTAGTGAGGTTCAGCAGAAATGAATTTTAGAGCGACATGATAAATAAAATTTCATTTTGAGAGAGGTTCAATATGTTTTGTATAGAAAAGATGCAGTTCCAAGAGATCTGTTAGTGCTACGACTAATATACTTTACTGTTGCATGGCACTAAAATGCATGTCTATCATGGAAAAAGTGCTGGAGATGAATTCTTGAATTATCTATACGTGATCGTGAGGTATTAATATCAAACATTATGCCTATGGCAATTTCAGCATAGAGGTAACATAATGGGTTTCCAATGGTCTTCACAGTTTGCAAAGGCTGCACTACAGCCAATCGTGTTTTTATTATTTCCTACATTAGTTTGCGTAGAGTGGTTGTGAATGATGTCATTGTATGTTGTGAATGATGTCATTGTATGTTGTGAATGATGAGGTATTGCAGATGTCATTGTATGTGTTACCCTTGCCGTGATCGCTCCTTGCGTTCGATCTCATTCGTCAGCGAGTTGATGCGGCGGTTGAGGGCATCGCGCTGCTGCTTCAAGCCCCTGATGGTCTTCTCGGCGTCGGAGTTGGCCGGTGGAGGGCCGCGTGCCTCCAGCTCGGAGACGTTGCGCAAGATGTGCAGCATCTGCTCATTGAGCTCGTCCAGTTCACTGTGCAGACGCGTCGTCTTGTGCGTGAACAGAGACGCTGAGGACACGGTGGACTTGCTTCTCTTCAAGGTGCTGCCAGGCGAGAAAAAAAACAGACACGAGAAAAATACTGTAAAACCGGAGATTTCCGGGGTGTAATATTTTCGGTGTTTCCCAAAATCACATTGGTAGCGCGAAAATTTCGGTAAACCAGTTTTGCAGATCCAAAAAATTCATCTTACACACTGTGTGGCATGGCATTGAGTTTTAGGTGGGATTTTATTTGAGGTAAAATTACCTGTACGAAATATCTCCACCGAAATTTTCCTGTTGTGATTCACAGAGGTTCTAACGTAGAATGTAAGCAACCCATTGTATTTGTCAGCACTGGTCCGTTCTGTGAGAAACCACACATTATTGCCATGGCTGGCTAACCGCCCCTATCTTCATGGAGTGGCTTCGGCCAGGAGCGTGTGCATGGTAACAAGAGTACATAACCCCAAGAGTGTGCAACTGCCTGCACCTCTATGCTGTGCTGCGACGGCAGAACTGTTACTTCACATCACGTGACATGGTTCAAATATTACGCCGGCAAACTGCAAAGTGACCACAAGAGAGTCCGCTAGTTGCGTACAACCTTGGATCTATCATACAAGAGTAAAAGTAAAGTGTACGTGATGTGAAGTCACAGACCCCATAGCTGGTGTTGCACACTCTTGGGGATTATGTACTCTTGATGATAATAACTCAAGACCAGCATGCACTATATCCAAAGCACAGGGAAACACATTCCAGCTTGGACACTGTAGAATTTCCGTACCTTCTCGGTCGTCGAGGTAGGTCCATTTGATCGGTGGTGGCGGGACTCAGCTCAACGAGTCGAGCGCGGATGAAGTCGTCGCCAATCTCCCCGTCGTCACCGGTTACGGTCGCAGTGGCTGCCGACATAGACGCCTGCACGTGGTCTTGGATGTCCTGTGCGCTGGACAGTGTAGAGTAGCGACTGATGCGCTCACTGACCGCCTGGGAAGGGACATGGCAAGAAAAGACAAAAATGTTTTTGATGATCAAGACGCTAACTAGTTTTCAAACACAAGTTTTAGCATCTTTATATTCCAATGAGAGCAGGGTATATTCTAGGACGAATTTCCAACCGGTTACGGTCCAATGAAGAGTCGGGGGGCCGGGGGTCCCCCCGGAAAAAATTTCAAAATACAACCTAAATATGGCACTCGACAGCAATTTAACAGATTGCTTGGTGCTGGAGTGCGTTTGACCATTCACAGCTCCATTCACCCACAGAAAAGTACGGGCGGTTGGAACTGATTTGTAACTTTTCAACCGGTCGCCAACAATTTCAACCGGTCGAAAACCGGTTGGGGCGGTTCTAGAAAATTCCCTGGAGAGTGTGAGAAAAACGGTGCAAGTTTTCGACAAAGTTGGTTTGTATAGGTTCAAGCTGTGATAATTTGGCCTGCTGACATTTCTAGGTACATGCTGCATTAGTTTGCGTTTTCATGAATTGGGCTGGTTCACGGAGAGACGATATTTTTTAATCATTTGGATCTGTTATTGTCTACAGTCAATGTACGGAGCAGTTTGCGGCGATTTCTATGCGTGATGGTCGCGAAAATAGCGAAATATAATCTCTCTACCGTACCTGTTCAGTGAACTCCTTGTCGGTCGGTGCCACCACCTTAACGTTGACCAGCTCCTCAGTCAGGTCGGTCTTCTCGTCACGTGACGTCAGTTCTCGGAACACCGTCTCCAGGTCGGCCGTCTGGCCACGTGCCTTGCCACGGGCCACGATAGCGGCCGGTCTGGAGCGCGTCAGGAACAGATCGGTGCAGCAGATACGCATCGCCTGGCAAGAACAGGGTCAGGGTACAGTGGAGACAGAGATGATATGTTTGAGACTTGAGATGCTGTATAAGTGCAAATTTTCGTTCACAAAATCTTTCGTTAGGTCACTCCACCAGCAGACTTGTTACGTACTAACTTTTGTTTTTGGTCGATTTCTGTCACCCGAATGTTCAGAAAAAAATGTTAGTTTGGTTAGTTATTTCGTGCCCCCTAACGAATATAGCGAAAGTCAATTCCAAACGAAAATATTATGTACTTACACAGTAGATAGGAGAAAGCGAGTGAAATTGCATGTGAATACTCAGCTACACACACCGCAACAGCCGAGTACCTGTGAACAACTGAGCATCATATGGCCGAAGCCGGACCGGCCGCTACGCCCCTGAAAGATATAACCATACTGTTTGTAGGGGCATCGACTAGTCGCCACCAGTATAGGAGTTTTGCACATTCAAAGTCGTCTATACTAAAAAAAATTACGGTTCACGCGAGACTCGGCTAAGACAACATTTTCTGCATCCGTAAGATGCTGCTACCGTATACTAAAGACACACACATACACAGATAGAGGGCATTTGCACATTTGCACATTTGCACACATTCACATCATTTGTCTATACCTTGTAGAGGAAGTCCAGGAAGCGCGGGTTGGCGTCGTCCTCCATTTTCTCCACCGCGATGTGAGCCAAGGCGTGCATGATGACCAGCGTGAACTCACCAACATCGTCCATACGCTCCTTACGCACAAACAACACATTGTTCTCCGGCTTGTAGTGGTAGGAGTTACGGAACGCGTTGCCAGAGTAGTCGTTGGCAGGTAGCGAGGTAGCCAGCAGCAATGTGATCTGCGGAGTGCCGACACGCTGACGCAGCAGACGTACAACGAACGTGCCGAACTGGTACACTACAAAGTTGCGCGCTGTCAGCTGATTGATATCGACCAGGGCGGTGTTGCTGCCCACGTTCGTCCACTGCGCATCACGCTGGTCGATGTAGTTTGCTCCGTACGGTAGCGTTTTCTTGCTGTCGTCCTGCCCTGCTTCACCACCGGCCTCCAGCATGGCTTCGATCTCGCAGGCACGCTGGTACAGCGCCGAGCCGTTGATCAGCTCCAGGAACTGCTGTTCGTCGAAGGCGCCCACGGCCGACTGGCCTGGTGCAAGCGCTCCTGCCTGCTGTTGCTGTTGTTGCAATAGGGCTTGTTCTTGTGCTTGCCGGAGATCTGAAGGAAAAACCCAGAAAAAACAACAATAAATGTAAGATCGAACAACAGTGAAATGACTAATTCAACACCAACATGGTTGACCATGACTGCGGCTGCACTTCACCTTAGTGACTTCTGGAGAAGGGAAAACGAGAGGACTAGACTGGAACCAGCAGCTGCCCCTGCCTTTATTCACCAGAGCCAGAGGTGCCAGGCTGTCACGCATGCAAAGCTCACACCTCACTCACGCCTGCATGTACACAACTGGTGGTGAAAATGGGCCAACTAAGGTGCGAAAGGGGCAACCGACACCTGAGCATGCACACATGCACACACGTACACACGGGGTACTGGGCATGATGCCAGCTAAGGTGCGAGAGAGGTAACACCTGAGTGTGCGAACACCCACACACCCACACCAGACTGGGCATGGATGTGCCAGCTAAGGACTAGGTGCGGAGAGGCCACAAGTTAGTGTGCAAACACCCAACACACACACCCACCCAGAACATACTGGCCGTGGATGTCAGTGCCAGCTGAGGAGCAAGAGAGAGGAGACACCGGAGTGTGCAAGCCAAGCATGTATCCACACCCACATCCACCCACACCCACACCCACCCACACCCACCCATGCACCCACACCCACCCATGCACCAACACCCACCCACCCATGCGCGATTTGCGAGTCCTCAGTCTTGTCTTTCACAGTTTGCAGTCTTCCTGTCCGTCCCTTTTAGTGGCAGTCCTTAGCCTAAACCATGGAAGTCTCCTGTGGATGTCTCTGGACTTTTTTAAAAATATTTTTCTTACAATCATCCCAGGTCACAGGCAAAGACAGAATATTGCATAGTGGGAGCATAGTGATGGTGAGGCTTTTTGCCCTCAGCCGACCTGAGGTCTCGACGTCATGGGGACATAAAACGCACCAAAAAGAAAGAAAAAGAAAAATTAAAGGAGTGAGAGGTACATGTACATGATATGAAATGTTAGGAGTAGAGACAGTACATTAGCTGATGGACTGCAGAACACTGAGAGACAGGACATTAGCTGATGGACTGTGGAACACTGCTCACCATTGGCCTGTTTCTCAGCTCGTCGCTTCTGCTCCTCGACGTCCAGGCGTGCGGCTTCCTCGTCGAGCTTGGCCACCGCTTCGGCTTCGTCTTTCTTGGCTGCCTCATTGGCCTGTGCTTCTTCCTCGCTTACCTAAAGAGCAGAAGGAATGAGTTGAAAGAAGAACAATTTTAGATATTTTACTGAAACACATACAACCAAAGAAAATTGTTGCAACTTGAGAAACAGATTTTCGCTCTGATCGTGATAGCAAGGAACTTGAACCCTACAAACTCCTTGATCATCATTGAAGGCTATGAGGGTGATACCCAGCCAGGGCAAAATGTTCAATGAGATAGGAATTTCAATATACAAGAGATATTCCACCATCTGTACAGCACCGTCGGACGCTGAAGAACGGAGTGCCTAAGAACGACCAGGCTAGAACTTCAACTGCTTGCTGATACCAATGTATACACGATGACTCAACTGTGCATAGACCGTAGTACATGAAAATAAGACCAGTCTAGGCTAGGAGGCTGAGCCCTCAGTTCTTCGGCGACCGACAGTCCTGTATACATCTCCCGAGACCCCCGTTACCTTGGCGATGGCGCGGTCCCTCTGCCGCTTTCGACGCGCGGCCAGCTGCTCCTGCAGTCGTTGCTCTGCCTTCTGCTTGCTCTGCATGGCCTGCTGGGAAAAGCGCTCTGTCTCACTGCTGTACTCCGCCATGATTTGCTGCACGCATACACAGGTTGGAGGCGTAATGTTCTCAGGTGTTAGCAAGACAAGCGTGTTAAAAAGGCAATGTTTGACACTCAACGCAACATCCTGGATACATCACATGCTATAGCCTTTCCCTAAGCATTTTGTGTGATGCACTAAATAGGTCGACGGGAGAACTTTCTGCACGCAACAAGCAGCTTACAACTCCAAGGGAGTTGGGGAGTGAGTGGGACGTAGCAATCCTCTATCAGTCACTGTTAGCATGCCTCCTCGGCCAATCCATGCTTTCATACCACTGTAACCAAACCTATGTCCTCCTCGGCCAACCCATGGTTTCATGCCACTATAACCTAACACCTGTGGCGTTGTGTCAAAGTTATCCACCCTCGTGCAAAGCACGCTGTGTAGTATATTGTAGTTAGAGAACCCTGACTTTGATGCTTTCAGTAAGTTTAAAACAGCTCTGTTGTTCATCAGGCTTTATTGCGATATGTTCAACCAGTGAATCTGAGGTCTGCTAATTAGTGGTCCAACCAGAAAAGCTCATATACAGTTCAACTGCGTTAACTTAGATATGAAAAATTTGGTGAAAAGACATCCAAAGTCTCTCTCTCTCGCTTACCGCTTTCTTGGCCTCGGTGAGTTCGCCCATTTGTCGAAGGCGTTGCTCCTGTTCTCGTCGCTTGTTCTCCATTTCCTTCTCCAGTTGTTGTCTGTTGTTCTTCTCCATTTCCTTGCTTCGGTTCATGTCACGCTCTTCCTGGGCCTTCAGGTCGGCTTCAATTTTCCTGTACATTGTCAGATAGATTATGATAAGCACGCGGGGTGGTGTGCACAAGAGAAGAAAAAACCTAGTAAAATATATACTAGTGCATGCGTCTTTTATCTGTGTGTGTGTGTGTGTGTGTGTGTGTGTGTGTGTGTGTGTGTGTGTGTACATGTGTGTGTGTGTGTGTGTGTGTGTGTGTGTGTGTGTGTTTGTATGTGCGTACACACACGCATGCATATCTGTCAAGTTAGAATGGATACTTAAACACAGCACTGTCCTCCCCCCCCCCCCATCCACAAACACACTTCCCACATGTTTGTGCTCAGCCTTACTCAATCTGTTCTTGACGTCGGTGTGCTGCTTCTTCTTCCCTCCGGCGTGTTTCCTCCTTACGCCTCTCCAGCTCACGCGCCTTCTCCTCCTCGATCTGACGGCGTTTGGTGGCGTAACTCTCCTTCCGTTGCTTGGCTTGTGCCTCGTACGATCCGCGCAGAGCCTGACGTTTGCACGGCAAAAGCAATCGTCACATAAATATTCCTACACTAAGAGATTCGTAGACATCACACAACTGCATTATGAACGAATGGGGGGGGGGGGGGGGGTCAACTGACAACCGCTCTGTTCAGTTGCTATTCACAATCTGCGCATGAGCTGCATGGAAAAAATTCTTCTATCCTGATGTTAAATAATCCTAGGCGTTTGAATGGCGCTAAAAGCACAGTAGCATTATTCTGTTCACAAATTATTTTTTGCAGAGCGTGGGTCTGGGGATGGTGGCAATACATAGGGTTGGTTGACCTAGGTTAAATACGTTTGCACAGCCCCTATACATATACCCGTATGGCACCAGTGATAAGTAGATCCCAGTTACCATAATTATGGTAAACAAGGAGGTGATGTACACCACTTTCTGAGTAAACAAGGAGAAAGACAAAATGTGACGAGTTAGGACTGTCCACCAACGTAACCAGATCATTTAATAATAATTATGGTGGACAGTTAGTCATAACTCGTAACATTTTGTCCTTCTCCTTTTTTTTTTACCACAATTAAATTGGCTCACCATCCGAGTCCAGTGATATGCATTTTATATTTATAAGAAAAAGTCGACCCCCATACTTGGTCATTCGCCTTCCCAGCTCGATGGGTATTGATTAAACTCTGGTTGCAAGTTGACTACTCCCTTGTTTATCTGGCTTCTAGGTCATAGAAGGTCGATTTATACGACAGGGTAAAATGCAGTATGTGTGACAGCGGCGGATCCAACGATCTCTACAGGGGGTTTCATCCAGTCCGATCAAAACTGAATATTGCTGATACATGTACATGGACACGCATGCATGCATGCATATGGTTGCCAGTAGTACATTTACAAAAGTTAGGCGGTGCCGCGGAACCCCTGGATCTTCCCCGGTGTGACCAATGCTATACTAGGCTGTCGAGGCCCCGTCGTATCACTCACCTGTTCTGGTGATAGCTGCTTCATGTAATCAGCCAGTTCCGTCAAGTGCTGTTCTTGCAGATCTGCGCGGGCGGTGGTACGCTTCAGTTGCTGATCATTCTGCGCCTGCTGCTCAGCTTGCTTCACCTGCTGTGCTGTGGCCTGATCAAACTGTTCCAAGCGTTCCTGTAGAACATAGACACGGCAATGGAAACGAGAATGGAGTAGCCATGAAATGATTGGCGAGCTGAACCTAATGAGTAGGGATACAGTAAGATCGGGCGCCAAAGAACGTAGGGGCTCAGGGCGCAGCCTAGCATTGTTCTAGTATGTTGAAATGCTAGGCGTTCTATTCCTATTCATGGGAGCATCACGCCATGGAGAGCCCCATATACGGTGCGACCACAAGGCGTGAAAAACACGTAGAAAATGGTACATCCGTTACAAATCTACCCCACATTGTTCTTAAATCTGGGCCATTTTCCAGTCTAAGTGTTCTTGCATTGTGGTTTTCGGCACCCGATCATACTGTATGCAGTAAGACACACATTTCCAGCATCTATCGGCTAAGCATGGCAGGCCCCATCAGCACTGTCTCACCCCAAGCTAGCCACATGTGCCTGCCGGTGAGATGTGTATCTTGTTAAAAAAATCTATAATGGTATGCAGGCAGGCACACATTTTTCAGCAATTCACCAAACAAGTCCCTCGTCCAAACTGAAATCGTCTGAGTTAGCGTATAAAAGATTTCACACAACAGCCACCGTATCACAATGTTACCTTCATAGCAGTAGCAAACTGTTCCTCAAGCTGCTCCCTTTCCTCGTCGGACAAATCGGGATTGGAGAGAATCTGAGCTTGCTTCTCCTGACCAACGTTATAAATAAGACAGGACAACAGAGATTGATAAGGAGTGAAATTGTCCACATGAATCCTGTGAGCATGTGTAGGCGTGTATCCAGGCAAAGGGTATACCGGTGATGCCTATTCACCTCCTGATTATTGAAATGGAGGCATTGTACTGGGGCGTGGGAAGGCATTCTACATTGGCGCGGTTATTAAAAGGCAGCGTCCGGGGTCCTCCCCGGGGAAACATTTTGGAAAATTGGGTCCAAATAGCCCATATTCCTTTGGTTGAAAAATCACAAAAAGCAAATTACCAGTTCGGCGTTGTCCGCACCTGCCGCACCGGTTCCTACACCCCTGACAATGACTTCTAACAAACCTCCAACAACCTCTACATTGTCGTGTATTCAACATGATAACACACGCAATATAATTATGGCATTTGTGGTGTGATGTGTGACGGCATTACCGCGGGCAGTCACACATACCCCCACGATGGGACAAGTCACTGACACGGTATCGTCCTCAGCAGGCCCGTAGCTCGTGTATAGTCAACATAATCCGGTCACCACACCAGCAAATGCCTGCAAGACATAGGTACTACATTGCCAGAATAGGCTAAATGAGGTTGCCAGTGGTACAAGGTCACCACACCACAGATGTGTGAGCTACGTCCCTGCAGTTAGCTTAGCTCTAGTACCCCCCCCCCCACCACACACACACATATACATGCATACTCCTACCTACCTCCTCTGCTGCGACAAGTTCATCTCTCTCCTTGCCCCGTTGTTCCTGGAGGGCACTGCGAGCCTCGCACACGGCAAGGTCTAGTCGGCGATCAAAGCGCTCGCCAAGCTGTACCATCTCCTTGAGGTGACGCTGCTGCAGAAGGTTCTGGATGATGAGCTCGGGTGACGTGTTGGTTTGGGATTCAAGACTGCTCCTGTTGGCTGTCAGTGCTGCCAACTCTGCTTCGCGTTCCTATTGTGTAGAAAGTAAAACAACATACACACGTACAGGGCCACATGCATGTGCACACAAACAAGCATGAATACACATGCACACACACACACAGGCATATGCACAGGCATACGCACATGCGCATCAACACGCAGGCACACACTCTCACACATACATGCACGCACGCACGCATGCACGCACGCACGCACACACACACATACACACACACAGGCATACGCACATGCGCATCAACACGCAGGCACACGCTCTCACACATACATGCACCTAAGCACGCACGCACACACACACCCACACACATACATACATACACGCAAGCGCATGTATTGTACTGGGAACATTACGCCAATCGCCACACAAGAACACTGTGCTAATTAGCTTATTATGGATAGCAGAGAACCAGAAGAGACAATCAGCTCCTACTCACCTTTTTGGACTGCAGCTCATCACGTTCCTGCTGCTGTCGCTCCAGTTCAGTTTTCATTGCCAGCTCGTTCTTGGCTGCAAGCAACTCAGCCTTGCGCCGTCGCTTTTCCTCAATCTTACTGGCCAGCGTTTGTTGCTGGCGCTGCTTCTGTGCGTCAAATGAGCCTTCCAGCTTGGCCATGCTACCCTGGTGTTGTTCAACCAGACGCTCGTACTCGGCTGCCGAGATCTCGTTGCGTTCTCGCTTGGCAGCCACCTCGCGCTGGAAGTCCTCCTGCGCCTTCCGCAGTGCCTAACACAGGATATGTGCAAAAAAGAGTAGAGTGCCGTCGGTCGCCGAAGAACTGGCGTGTCAGCCTCCTAGCCTTGACAGTTCCTATTTTCACATATTACAGTCTATGCACAGCTGAGTCACTGTGTATACATTGGCATGCTGTGCTTGGTGACCGGGGAATTCCAGCCTGTTCATTCTTCGGCGCCCGGCAATGCTATACTACAACATACAGTCTGTATCGGCTATAGAGTGACCGGATATAAGAATATATCGGCTACAGTGATATTGGTACGAAATATCAAAAGCAAAACGTATTTTATCCAGTAAAAATATCACTATAACCAATATTATCGGATGTAAGGCTATATCGGATATTATGATGGCAACAAAGAATCAAAACATGCATAACACACTATATTATTATCGGCTATAGTGATAACTTTAAAATACATGTAGCAATAATATCAAAGACCCTATTTTTTACTTTCTTCACGTTGCTTATTTTTATAGTGATACATGTACATGTACATAACAGAATTTTTTTATGGAAATGCAGGCACTGTCAACTATGCAGCATGCTCATTTGTCAAAACGACATGCTGGAAGTATTTCCTTGCCTTTCATGTGTCGATCGAAAAAAGAAAAAAGAAATCGATCGTTTTGCATATAGTGATGCATCGGTTATAGTGATAAAATCACGGAAATCAAAAGGGTATGCTATAGCCGATACAGACTGTACAATAATCAGAGCCAGTAGGGGCAGCACAAGAGGGCGTATCCTGGAGACTGTAGCTTGAAAGGTGCCCTGGTATGAGATGGTAACTGTTAAACAGTTTGATGCATTGCACGATCATCAGACAGCATAAATGGGAGAGGTGACGAAAGTAGCAGCGGCCACTGGAATAGTGCTCAATGCGATGGGCACGGAGCTGGAACGCGTACATGTGCGAAGCGCTCCGTTACGTGCCCACCCTATGTCCCATACCTATGGCAGTCTTGAAAGGCAGCTGGTGGCCTCACGATTAGCATTGGCATGAACCATGGTCTAGTACAATAGTCCCTAGTGCTCTAAGGAGTATTGTTTTCAAGTACAGTTAAACCTGTAACTAAAGACAACC